AAGTGTCCAAGGCCAGGTTGGATGGGGCTTGGAGCAACCTGGGCTGGGGGAAGGTGTCCCTGCCCATGGCAGGGGGTGGGACTGGATGAGCTTCCAAGTCCCTTCCAGCCCAAACCATTCCCTGACTCTGTGATTATTTTTTCCACAGCACCAGGACTCATTCCCTGCCCCAGCCCATCCCACACAGGAGGAAGAGCCTGACCCCCTCCCCAGCAATTTACAAAATACTTTCTGCTCCTTCATTTACCTTTTCTGTGGGAAAAGCGTAAGGATCAAGTGCCCGGGTGGAGGTGAGGAAGTAACAGACTGGGAGCTGGGAGGCTCCTATTTATAAGCTCAACTGCATCTTATTTTGCATCTGCCTCTGCTCTCCCCATTCCTCGTCAGCACGGGCAAACCATGGGGTTGCTATTTATTTTCTATTTTTCCTTTATTGCCATCAAATGAGCGCTGAGGATTTTTCCTGGCAGTGCTGGGGAAGCCAGGAACAGGCTCCTTCTGGGTAGAGCAATTACTCTCTTGACATCTTCACCTCCCTCCCGGCAGCCTGACAGGCCTTTCTATTTTCTCAGCTCTTTCAGGCATCTCCCAAGAAACAGAGCAGTTGTTGCAACAATAAAAATTAATACTTTGCACGCAACCCCGGGATCCTGGTGCAGCCTCCACGCAGCACTGAGCCTTCCAGGAGGAAAAGAGAAGGAAAAGCTGATGCTGGAAGGGGGAACTGCCCCCAGATCCCCTCCCTGCATCCAAAGGCTGCTCTGGTTTTTTGCTCCTTGTAGTGCTTTCAGCACCAGGGGTGGGTGGTTATAGGGGCTGGTCCTTGTCCCAACGTGCTGATCCATGTCCCAGAGTGGATGGACACGTGGACAGAGGGATGGGAGAGCTCCAACATGGGGACAGTAACAGAGAGGTTGTGCACCATCTCTGGAGTGTCCAAGGCCAGCTTGGACAGGGCTTGGAGCAACCTGGGATAGTGGAAGGTGTCCTTGCCCATGGCAGGGGGTGGGACTGGATGGGATTTAAGGTCCCTTCCCACCCAAACATTCCACAGTTCCATGATTCCTGGTCCCATTGCTGCTGTTGAGCATCACCTGTGTCTGCAGCCACAACAGGGAGAGGGACACGGGGCACTAAAGCTCCAGGCACCCCACTGTCCACAGGCCAGGGACACACACAGACAATACACACAGTGTTATCCATACATCCCTCCTCAATCACAGCATCCTGCTGGGAACAAGAGCCAGCAGAGTCCCCTCATCCCATGGAACCCCTCCTGTCCACACTGGGATGCCCCAACAGTCCCTGCACACCCCTTGAGGTTTGGGGTTTTTTTTTAAATGCCATGTTAGGACTTGGGCAGAGGCAGCCATGGATCTAATCCTGTGGATTTATTCAGTTCCTCGGGAATAAATCCAACAACCTTCCTTTCTCTGGGCTGGAACGTGAGCTGCTTCCAGATCCCTAAACACAGATAAGCTCTGGGAGGATATTCAGGGGAAGTATCGGATATTCCTGCTCTATTCTTATCCTGTTCTCCAGGCAGCCAATTTTGGCCACTGTTTGAGATAAAACCCTGGGCTCTGGAGATATTTACAGCTCTGCTCTGCTCCACTACAGCTCCTCTTACCCAGGGGATTAAGCCCTGCTGAACTCACCCCCAAAACCAACCCAGACCCCTCTTAAAAACACCAACGAGCTGCTTTCTCCCTCCTGCATCCCCCAAATCAGAGGGAGGTGGGGAGGAAGAGGGAGAAGATGCGAAGGGTTTCTCAGCAGTTCGGTGCCTCCCACTGAAATCCCTCCGTCTCCCTTTTGGGGTTTGGTTGTTTTAGAGGAGCTTTTTGCACATTAGTCATCCCCTCTCCCAAGTTGCATAACGGCACAGCTAAAAATTGCATCCTGTGGCAGCTCCTGCCCAGCCCTCCTTGCTCCGCTGGGGATCAGGTTTTGGGGGGTCCACCAAAGGTTTTCCACACCAGACAACCAGCTCTGCTGTGGGGAGAGGGTGGGATCTCCTGGGATCTGCTCTGGGATTGATCCTCTGCTTAAAACCCCAAATTTTGAGCATCCTGGTCTGACTCAAGGGACAGGGTTTCATGGCTGGCTTGTCCCCAAAGTCAGTGTGTGACCTTGATAAATCATTTGTGGTCCAGAGACCACTGAAATCACAGAAGGTGACCTTCCCTCTCTCAGGGGATGGGGATATTCCAGCTCCTCCTGCTTCGAGAGGGGAGGATGAGCCAGAGAAATGCCAGTGTGAGCCACTGGACTCAGCCAGCTCATGGATCTTTGGGTGATTCATGGACCTGCCCAGTTACTCCCACCATTTCCTGGGGGAATACACTTCAGTCACAGAAATCCCGGGAATGCAGCTGCACCACTGACACACAGGTGCTGCCAACAAGGGGTGAATCCCCAGCACAGCACAGGGGTCAGAAACCACCACAGGACATCCTGGGCAGAGGATGGATGCAGCTCATCCCAGTTTCTCCCCAGATCCCCAGAAATTCCAGCTCCAGCACTGGGTCTCTGCAGGGCCCAGCTCCTGCCATCCAGCCCCAGGATCCAGCTCGTGGCACCGAGTTTTTCCACCTCTTTTCTGCTTCCCTTCAGCCCTCACAGGGCTGGGACACGGTGAGGGAGGAAGAAAAGCAAAATAAAAGTGAAGGGCTTCTTGTTGGCCCCGTGTGGGACTCGGAGGGGGGTTGTTTTGGAGGTGGAACTGGCTCCTCCTGGCAGCTCCTTCTCTACACTGTGGGAAACTGAGGCACAGGGGGCCTGGGATGGAGCAGGAGGGTCCTGGCTGTGGGAAAGGCCAAAATCCATCCCAGTTCCTTCAGGGTGTGGGGACCGTGGAATTACAGAGTCATTAAGG